GTTTTAGTCCTCTACCACTTCTCTGAAGCCTGATAGTACTTATGGTTTCCACTATAAAAATTAGGACAATTTCTTTAACTGGATTTCAAGCTCTTTGCGGGCAGGGACACATATTTACATTTTCTCTGTCAGTGCACATATTACAGTGTTAAGCATATAGTGAAAGCTAAATATTTGCTCTCTGATTAGAATTATATAAATTCTGTGCTTAAGAAAAATAATGACAACTAATATTCTACCCAAGAGTGCCCAGGTGGTGCAAATGGTTAATGTGCTCGCTGCTAATGAAAATGTTGGAGGTTCGAGTCGACCCAGAGGCACCTCAGAAGAAAGACCTGACGATCTATTTCCAAAAAATCAGCCATTGAAAACCCTTTGGAGCACAGTTCTACTCTGACACATGGATGGAGTTGCTATGAGCCAGAATTGACTCAATGGCAACTGGTTTAATAGGCCATCTGGATAATTCTAATTTTTTCTTTTTAAAAAGTTTTTATTGTAATTTAGGTGAAAGTTTACAGAGCAAATTAGTTTTCCATTAGATAATTTGTACATAAAGTGTTCCATGACATTGGTTCCTTTCCCCACAATGTGTCAGAAGTTTCCCCATTTCCGCCCTGGGTTCCCTATTTCCTTTCGTTCAGATTTTCTACCTCTTCCTGCCTTCTCATCTTTGCTTTTGGGCAAATGTTGTCCTTTTGATCTCGTATAACTGATTGCTCTAAGGAACATGTTCCTCTCAGGTGTTATTGTTTATTTTATGGGCCTGTCTATCGTTTGGCTGAAAGGTGGTCTCCGGGAATGGCTTCAGTTCCAGGTCAGAAGGGTGTCTTTAGGGCCATAGTCTCTGGGGTTCCTCCTGTCTCTGTTAGACCAGTAAGTCTGGTCATTTTTTTTGTGTGTGTGTGTGAATTTGATTTTTTGTTCTACATTTTTCTCCTACTCCATCCAGGACCCTCTGTTGCGATCCCAGTCAGAGCAGTCAATAGTGGTAGCCGGGCACCCTCTAGTTCTTCTGGTCTTGAGGTCAGGTAGGCTGTGGTTCATGTGGTCCATTAGTCTTTTGGACTAATTGCTTCCTTGAGTCTTTGGTTTTCTTCACTCTCCTTTGCTCCGAATGGGAACAGACCAATAGTTGTATCTTAGATTGTCATTTGCAGGCTTTTAAGACCCCAGATGCTACACACCAAAGTAGGATGTAGAACATTGTCTTTATGAACTATGTTGTGCCAATTGATGTAGATGTCCCCCGAGTCTATGACCCTTTGCCTTTAAGCCTAGGAACTTTGTCCCACAAGGTATTTGGTTATGTCTAAGAAGTTTTCATGGCTGTGCCCCTTGTGTACTCTATTATCTATATTAATATACATGCAGCACCTACAATTATGTATGTAGAAATATCCACAACCAAACCTATATCTGCAGATGAGTGTGCTCCTTACACCCTCCCACACCTCTTTAGCATACCTATCTACCTATATATTCATTCGCAAATTATCATTTGTTAATACTATTGTTGCAGTATTATCTGTTACAGTAATTACTGTAGTTGCCCTTTATTCTTGTGTTCCTCTCATTGTCTTCCTTTGCCTCGGTCATATTGTTATGACTTTCCCCATATTGTGTATTGCCTTTTCCTTCACCAATATTAACATGTGTCTTCTATCTCGTTAGCAATTTTCCCTCTATCCCCTTTCCATCCCTGGTAACAATCAAATAATTTTTTTTTCCTGTGCGTAAACCTTTTTTTTTTTAATTTGTTTTTTTATAATAGTGATCTCATACAATATTTGTTCTTTTGTGATTGACTGATTTCACTCAGCATAATGTCCTCCAAATTCATCCATGTTATGTTTCACAGATTCGTTGTTATTCTTTATTGTTGCATAGTATTCCTTTCTGTGTAAGTACCACGGTTTGTTTACCCATTCATTCATTGATGGGCACTTAGGTTGTTTCCATCTTTTTGCTATTGTGAATAATGCTGCAATGAACATCAGTGTGTATATGTCTATTTGTGTCATGGTTCTTATTTCTTTAGGGACAATTTTTTCTTAATGTAATTATAATCATGAAATTAAATCCTAATTCATTCAGAAAATTTTTAGTGAATACTTACTACTTTCCTGGCACTAAACCAATGGTGGGAATACAAGCATGAATTCTATCCACAAAGGAATTCTTCGCAGGTAGAATTAGCATTGCTATAAGGCAACTGCATTCACTTCTTCACTTTTAAATTTGTAAGATTTTAATTGGTTGACTAAATTGTCTTTGAGTGACCACCAAATTACTTTGTTTTTCAGGGAATGGGCACTTTATAATTTTTCCTGGTTGATTTTTCCCAGTGCTACACTGAATTTTTTTTTTTTTTTAAATCTGAAATTGTCATGGTCAAGAAATGGGCAGGATGAATTCCTGAAGGATCTGTTTTTTTTTTTTTTTTTTTTTTTATGGGGGAGAGGGGTCCAATTTATCTTTTACGTCCAGAAACTAGTGGGCTAGATAGGACTAATCTAAGTGCATTGTGTGTGTACCGTAACTTGAGTGCTTAGTCACTTACTTAGACTGAGTAGTAGCCATTGTGGTGCTGTGATAACATCTCCCCAGTGTTACTCATTAGAGTCCTAGGGAATGTCATCAGGCAGGTTTAGAGTAGAAAGGCAGACACTGTATTCTTCAGTTCCACTCCTTTGCCCTATATTAGGCCAACTGTCTCACTCCTGATTTAAATCTGAGTTGAATTTCGTATTTTCCTGTTCATTAGTTCATTCGACATTTCTGAGAGACTATTATGGACCAGAAGCTGTGCTTGGTACTCAGGATAAAAAGTCAAAAACAATAGAACCCCTGCTGTCAAGAGGTCACTTGGATGAAATGATAGTAAAATGTATATGCCATTGTAGAGATAATATTTAATACTGCCTTATGTTGCTTTTGAAAAGCAAAATTCAGTATATGGAAATGTCTTCAGACCAGAATCCCCTGAATTTTTATACATATATAGATATATAATTCATATATATAAATTAAATTAATTCATATAGATAAATTAATTCATATATATAAAATAAAAATACCATTATTAATACAAATATTATTACTGTCCTATAATATGAACGTTATGTAAGAAAAAGACGAGGCCCTACTTATATACTTAGAATAAATGTTAAATAAAGAAGCAAAGTAACTCTTGCAGGACTCTAAACACCAGTAATTCTCTGCAAAAGTTATATACATCAACCATATTATTCACATGGTATTGCAGTATTAACCAATAACCAGTCAAGTCGACTCCAGCTCATGGAGGTCCCGTGTGTGTCAGGGTAGAACTAGGCTCCACAGGAATTCTCAATGGCTGGTTTTTTGGGAGTAGATTGCCAGGCCTTTCTTCCAAGGAGCCTCTGGGTGGACTCAAGCCTCCAACCTTTCAGTCAGCAGCTGAGGGCGTTAACCATTTGCAGCACCCTGGGACATTATGGCATTAAAAGTAGTGAATGTCACCCTGCAGGCTAAGGCTGGATCCAGGTTTTGTGGGGCCTGAGGGGGAGCTCATACAATGTGGAAAGGCCTTTTAAGAAAATAAAATGAAGTCAGGAAGGGACAGAAAAAATGGACAGATGGAAACGGGGAATTAGGGTGTGGAAGGAGAGAGTGTTGACACATTGCGGGGATTGCAACCAATGTTACAAAAAAATTTGTGTATAAATTTTCGAATGTGAAACTAACTTGCTCTGTAAAGTTTCACCTAAAGCACAATAAATAAAAAAAAAGAAAATGAGAACACAAAATTAGGCATGGGGCCTTGGAAGTGGTCTATGAAACTGAAGAGCCCTGAAGCTTAATCTTTATTAGCTTCCCGGAAAAGTTGATCATGGTAGCCACACAAAAGATAAATAAACTCTCCATCTTTCAGTTAAATTAGGGAAATATTTGGGCATTACGAAGAACAGTGTCCATAAACTGATATAAAAAAGTTTATAATAAATGCAATACTTGTAAAATGAGTCTTTAAATTGACCTTATCTACAGTCTTAGTCTATCTTTATTCTATCAGATTTTATTCCATTATGTGGCTTTCTTTCAAATCCAAACAATACCACAGGTATTCACTGAGTACAGATCATAAATGCTTTCTTCTTTTAAGCTAAAGTCTGTGGGTCTGCACTGTCCAAGACAGTAGCCACAGCCACATGTGGTTCTCGGGCACTTGAAATGTGGCTAGTGCAACTGAGGAACTGAAATTTTAATTACATTTAAATTTTGAAACTGATACTCAATTCAGTTGTTGCAAAACTTTTTAGTATATTTGGAGCAATTTGGGATTGTTATCTACTTTTTCAACTATAAATTTTGTGAAATACAAATACAAATTGAGTATTTCCAAGAAAAATTTAGCATCCAAATTGAGATGTGTTGTAAATGTAGAATTCACACTGGATTTCGAAGACTTAGGTACTAGGACGAAAAGAATGTAAAATATCTTATTAATAATTTTTACATTGTCTACATGTTGAAATGATGATACTTGGTTATATTGTTAAATAAAATATATTATTAAAATTAATCTCACCTAATTCTTTTTTTTTTTATTTTTTAATACGGCTATTAGTCCCTGGGAGGCACAAATGATTTGGCGCTGCACTACTAACCGAAAGGCTGTGGGTTCAAACCCATCCAGAGGAGCCTTAGAAGAAAGGCTTGGAAATCTGCTTCTGAAAGGTCACAGCCTTGAAAACCCTGTGGATCAGTTCTACTCTGTAACACATGGGATACGCAAGAATTGGAATCAACTTGACGGCAACTAATAACAACTAGAAAACTTTTCAAAAATCTATGGCTAGTACTTTATTTCTGGAAAGTACTGCTTTAGACCACATCAACTGCTTTTCTCAAAGGTAGTATATAATTTTTGAAACCACATACTCAAAAGACAATACTAAGGAGGATCATGGTAGATGGAAAGCAATTACCAAACATTATGAATGGGACATTTTTACCTTACTTGAGGTGGTGGAATTCCTACCACTATACAATCCAACTGTACTCGGGTTCCTTCTGGAACTTCTCTGCTCCGTAACTTTTGAGTGAACCGAGGAGGTTGCCCCAGAGGTTCTTCATAGTACAAAGATGAAGGTGAAGACCCTGGGGTAATGTCTCCACCAGCTGCGTCATTGGCAGCCTGCTCAGCTTCACGTCTCTTGGCTTCTTGCTGTTCAAGAGCGTGATTCAGTTCATTATCTCTGGTATCCGCAGGGATGGGGATGGGAACAGAAGATCTTTCTCGTCTTTCTGACAGATCTGAGAAACTGGAGCTGCTTTCCTGCATTGCTTTGTTTTGAGATTCCAATTTGCTCTTGTGGTTTTTGCAGGCACGAGGTCTAATCCTTTTGGAGCTATGGGCTTTGAAAAGGGAGGACAGCTCTTCGATGAAATCAGCAGCCTTATTTAAGAACACCTTTTTGGACTGAGTTTCAGAACTATATTGTGGCCTTTTTGCTTCCTGTGGGCTCTCTTTACAGCTGGTAGAACTTTGAGAGTTATCCTGGCAGAAGTTAGGGTCAAAACTTGATTGGGGTGAGTGTTTCATTTGATCTGAAGAAAGACGTTTTCGAGCTTGAGATTCATCTGCTTTCTCCAAAGGGTCATGATTGATGGCCAGTCTTGCCAGGTTGACACTTTCATCTAATTCTTCTTGGCTCAGAAAGGCAGAAAGATCTGGAAGGTCATCTTGGCCTCCTTCTCCTTCAGCAGCTCCAGAAGGGCCGCCAAAATGAAAAGGGTTGGAGGAAGGTTCTGCGCGACTCCTCTCATTGTTTCCCTGATGTCTGGTTTCAGCTAAATAGCTCTCCCTTAGAAGCTGAGATATGGAAGTAGAAGCCTCTAGGCTGTCGTCTTGCATGCTGTCACAAAATAATAATAATCACAAAAAGTTTGGATCATTTCTAGGGAATAGCAAGTCAATGTTTATTATAGCATGGTAGATTCTTAAGAACTTAAAGCTTGAACTAAACATTTGCCTAATTATGGTCTCAAATTATAAAATAAATAGGAATTTAATAAGCATTCCCTGAAACTGAAAATAAAGACATTTCTGATTATCACTTTATTAAATGCTTTAAATGCAAATTTCATCGCGAAAGTTATGGTATAACTATATCAAAAAAAAAAGACCTGCTGCCATAGAGTCGATTCCGACCTATAGCAACCCTATAGTGACCTTAAATACAAGTTTAATATGTAATTTTGATAATACCTGTACAGGGCTTTTAGTTACAAAGTCCTTTCATACACAAATAGATATTTGCTCTCCACCTCCCCCCCTTTACCTTGGATATAACAGAATTATAGAAATTAAGAGATATTCACAATATACCAGGGTTGGGGGGAGGGGGAAAAGGAGGGTTGGTGATGATGGAAAAATTGCACTGATTAAGGGTAGGGTTGCAGAATTGATTATTTTAATTGCTGTCAATAAGTTGTATGCCTGTAAAAAGTTGAATTGGCAAAAGTTGTGTGATAGATATATTTACAACAATGACCAAGAAAAAAAAAGAGTAGTTGCTGAGGCTGTTTATGTACAACCAAACACCTCATGGGATTTGGTTCCTTGGTTTGAAGATTTAAGGTCATGGTCTCATGGGACTTCCCGGTTAATTGCCCTAATAATATGGTTAGTGCTTCTGTTCTATCTCTTAGTGTGTTGCGTAGTGCCTGAGGTCTTAAAAGCTTGCAAGTGGCCATTAGGCACAACAATTGGCCTCTATTCACCTGGAGTAACAGAGGAAGAAGGGGAGTCAGGAATAGGAAGAGGATATGGAATGTGTGGCTAATTGCCTCCATGAACAACTGCCTCCTTTGCCATGAGAACAGAAGAATTAGATGGTGCCGGGCTACCATTACTGAACATTTTGATCAAAGATTCCGTAGAAAAAATCCTGTTGAAAAGGGGGAAAATGCAGAACAGAACTCAAATTCTCATGAACTCCAGACTTCCTGGATCCATGGAGGGTGGAGGAACCCCTGAAAGTATTGCCCTGAGATAATCTTTAAACCTTTAACCAAAAATATCCCCTGAAATCTTCTTAAAACCAAACAATAGTTTAGCTTAACTAGTTAAAAAAGATTGGCCTTGAACGTTCTGTGCTTTTTTTTAAATTGTGCTTTAGGTGAAGGTTTACAGAGCATATTAGTTTCTCATAAAACAATTAATGCACGTATTGTTCTGTGACATTGGTTGCCAACCCCATGACGTGTCAACACTCTCCTCTTCTCAACCTTGGGTTCCCCATTACCAGCTTTCCTGTCTCCTCCTGCCTTCTCATCCTTGCCCCTGGGCTGGTGCACCTGTTTAGTCTTGTTTTGTTTTATGGACCTGTCTAATCTTTGGCTGAAGGGTGAATCTCAGGATTGACTTCAGTACTGAATTAAAAAGGTTTCTGGGGACCGTACCGTCGGGGTTTCTCCAGTTTCCATCAGACCAGTAAGTCTGGTCTTTTTTTTGTGAGTTAGAATTTTGTTCTGCCTTTTTCTCCACCTCTGTCTGGGACCCTCTATTGTGACCATTGTCAGGGCAGTCAGCAGTCGTTGCCAGGCATCATCTAGTTGTGCTGCACTCAGTCTGGTGGAGGCTGTGGTAGTTGTGGTCCATTAGTCCTTTGGACTAATCTTTCCCTTGTGACTTTGGTTTTCTTCATTCTTCCTAAGCATTATGCTCTTTTAAGAACTATCTATATGGGATCAAAGTGACTACAACAACTCGAAAGATTAGATAGGAACCTTAGGGGGCAGTGAGTTTATGTTAATGAGAGAGGAACAACTCAGAAAAGGAGGGTGAAAATGGTTGCTCAACTGGAAGAATGTAATCAATGTCACTACATTGTACATATAGAAACTGTTAAAAAAGAGAGAGAGAATGTTCACAGACTGTGATAAATGTAACTAATGTTACTGAACAATTTGGTGGGAATTGTCAAATGAGAACCTAACTTACTGTGTAAACTTTCATTAAAAACTCAATAAAATGTTATTAAAAAACAAAGAGATATTGGCAATATAATTTCATCTAGTTACTGAAGATACAGATTTGACCTAACTCATGAAGATAATGCTTTTGTTATGTGACTAGAGGCAAGCTATTTAAATTTAATGTTGTTTATATTACCAATCTGCTCTTGAAAACTGACTGTTTAGCTTCTTCAAACAAGATATAATTAATTTCTATAAAGATATGAGTTAGAGCCTAGATTATTTTAAAAATCTCTTAAATTAACACTGGTTAGGAGGAAATATGGGAGAAGGAGGTGCAAGACAGGAGATTTTTTACTGTTTACCCTTTCCTAACTATTGAATTGTAATTATGTAAACATAATAACTACTCAAAAAATAAATATTTTTTAAAGTCATAAGAAAATAGTACAATAACTTTAGTTCAAAGGTCCCCTAGACTAGAGATTTTGATAATGCCAACTAAATCTTTATTATTAATATTATATCCTTTTATTCATTCAAACATTTACTAGAGGAATGGCAGGCATATGACCAATAGGCTGACACTTTTATCTCACCCTCTTAAAAGATACATCTAGCTGGTTACAGTACTCTTCCCATTGACCTTGACTTTCTTAATACTCTTCTCCTTCAGCTCCCACCAGTCAATCAGAGATGGTAAAGGAGATGAAGACTATTTGCCATTCTTGGCTACTATGTGCTAGGCTGTGTGATAGGAAGACAAAGAGGAAACGAATCTCTTAAACCTCTTCTGGCTTTAAGACTCTATGACAAAACTTATTTCAGTTCTTTCCTCTCCTTTCCCTTACATGATGTTGTTGTTAGATGCCCTCGAGTCAGTTATGACTGATAGCGACCCCATGTACAACAGAATGAGATACTGCCCAGTCCAGCGCCATCCTCACAATCACTGCTATGCTTGAGCTCATTCTTGCAGCCACTGTGTCAGTCCATCTCATTGAGGGTCTTCCTCTCTTTCGCTGACCCTCTACTTTACCAAGCATGATGTCCTTCTCCAGGGTCTGGTCCCTCCTGACAACACGTCCAACGTACATGAGACGAAGGCTCGCCATCCTCACTTCCTTCAAAGGAGCATTCTTTTTGTACTTCTTCCAAGACAGATTTGTTCATTCTTCTGGAAGTCCATGGTCTATTCAATATTCTTCGCCAACACCATAATTCAAAGGCATCAATTCTTCTTCAGTCTTCCTCATTCACTGTCTGGTGTATGAGGCGATTGAAAATACCATGGCTTGGGTCAGATGCACATTAGTTCTCAAAGTGACATCTTTGCTTTTTAACACTTGAAAGAGGTCTTTTGCAGCAGATTTGCCGATTGTAATATGTCGTTTGATTTCTTGATGGCTGCTTCCATGGCCATAGATTGTGGATCCAAGTAAAATGAAATCCTTGACAACTTCAATATTTTCTCCATTTATCATGATGTTGCTTCTTGGTCCAGTTGTGAGGATTTTTGTTTTCTTTATGTTGAAGCGTAATCTATACTGAGGGCTGTATTCTTTGATCTTCACCAGTGCTTCAAGTCCTCTTGCTTTCAGCAAGCAAGGTTGCTATCATCTGCTATCACAGGTTGTTAATGAGTCTTCCTTCAATTCTGATGCCACGTTCTTCTTCATACAGTCCAGCTTCTCAGATTTTTGCTCAGCATACAGATTGAATGAGTATGGTGAAAGGATACATGTTTCTTGACTTTAAACCACGCAGTATCCCCTTGTTCTGTTCAAACAGCTGTCTCTTGGACTATGTACAGGTTCCTCATGAGCACAATTAAGTGTTCTGGAATTCCCATTCTTCGTAATATTATTCATAATTTGTTATGATCCACACAGTCGAATGCCTTTGCATAGTCAATAAAACACAGGTAAACATCTTTCTGGTATTCTCTGCTTTCAGC